TTTCTCTCTCTCTCTCTCTCTCTCTCTCTCTCTCTCTCTCCTTTCAGGTGTTATTTCATAACCTCGGTATCGGACATTGGTAATTTCAAACTAGTTCAGATTATGTTATTGTCTTGTGACAACGACTTAAAATGCACGCTCAGCAAAAATAAATGGAATTTTGTTCGTCTCCAACGCGACAGGATAGACATGGAAAAATATTGTTCCATAATTAGATGGTTCAACTTGTTTATAAAGATGTCACTCAATCTTAAAACTCTACTGCCTTTTGAGGTTTTCAAAGAATTTTCGAGGAAGAGGGACGCCTCGCTCCATAGCTCTCTGCAGTCGACACACGACACACAGTCTTAACCAACCCCAACCCCACTCCCCCCAAAAAAGAATAAAAAAGAAAACAATGAAAGCTCCAAGAAATTGAGTTGAGCTTTTTTTCAAGGATTAGTTGTTTTTTTCAATGATGAGTTTTTTCCAAGGATTAGTTTTTTTTTCAAGGATTAGCCATGCTATTGTACAATCGACTTGTCGTGGATGTTCGAGGAAGTTCAGTTTAATTGACTTTTTGGGGGCTCTTTTTTATCAAGAGGACGTTGGTGAATCGTCCACATTTTTTTCTTAAAGTATTGTTTAACATTTCAATTTTACTTTAAAAAGTCGTTTCGACTTTTATTCTTTGCTTCTGAAGACAAAAGATTGTTTCTACTATTGTTTCTACTCAAAATGAAGTTTGTTTCCAATGCTGGAAATGTCCCTACTTCTGAGCACCAGGATTCCTCAAATCGAAACTGTAACTGAAAGTGCAAAAAGAGCATTTGCCGGAGAACGTTGTATGCAGGAAAACTTGTAAGATCATTTTTTTTTAAATCAAAGAAAAAAAACAATAAATAATGTGTCTATGTGTGTGGGGGGAGGGAGGGGGAGGGGAGGGGGTGATGACAAACATGAAATGGCTGGAGACAAATTCGGTGTCTCGTATGTAACAACATATATTCATATAATGAGATGAAGACAGTATAGTAGGCAGGTCTAAATGTATGCTTAAACTGAGAGTGTGGGAAAGACAAAAAGAGCAAATAGTAGTAATTAATGCTTTTACCTTTTGGCTTTACATAACGTTT